ACCATTCATGGGAGGAATGCCCTTATTGCGACTATCTTGCACACTGCGACACTGCTCTTGCTGACCATGAGAAAGAGCATGAGCTGCGATCTTGCGACGAATGCTYATYGATGGTCAYAGAGCATGCATATGATGACCATTTACGTGACAAACATGGCATGAAAGATTGTTTGTTTTGCGCAACTTATCCTCTTCCCCTTGAGTTGCTTAAAGAACACATCATGGAATATCATTGCAAAATGACGAGATGTTCAGAGTGCAATGAATTCCAAACAACAGCAGATATGCCATCTCACCTCCAAGCCAGTCATGGTTGGCAGAAATGCTGCTTCTGTGACGATGTGATTGCTGGACTAGAAGTCCCAGTCCACATTCATGAACATCACAAACCAGTCACATGTTTTGAATGTGGTGTAGAGGTAGCCCAGACAGAATTCGATCTTCATCTTGTCAACACACACGACTACAATGTTCAACCGCCGGCAAAAAATGACACGCAGATCGACAGGCAAGCCGTAAAGAGCACTTTGGCGAACTTGAGCCAAAGGCCCAGTGGAGCTTCTGAGGATAGACAAGATCGGTCCATTCTGCATTCTCCTCAGTACTCAAGTCCTGAGAGAAAGTATTGCCATGAATGCAAGGGAAGCTTTAAAAATCTATACGAACATCAAAGGAGGAGGCATGGGATACGACTAAGGGACAAAAAGACGTTCAAAAACAGAGTACCGTACGTTGACGGGGTCAATAGCCAATCAAAGGGCAATTCAAACCGGTGCAAAAAATGCAAGGCAGCAAAAACACCAAAATAGCAATTAAATTAGGAATTTTGGAACTAAGAAATATATAGCAAAACAGTCTTCAGTACCTAGTGTACACAAAAGGCACCGCTCTATGTAAGTTTTCTCCAAATGTACCCTGCACATGATCCTCCTCATCCACACTTGCGCAGCCTAGAGAGGTTTTGCTAATATCTTGCCGGAATACTCGGATATTCTCACCAATCATCTATAAAGATGTGAATTGTCATCCACATCGTACCCACTTTCCTTCGTAGCAGCGCAGCAGGGGATAAAACCAAGAGAAGATAACAAAGCATTCTTTGTACTGATACACAGCCAAAATCAGGCAGGCTAAAATGTTGCTCCGTTGGGTCCAGATGATGCAACCACATAGTGCTTAACGCCTGCCCTCTACGTATTCCCTCCTATTCAATAATAGTGGGAGATCATCGCTGACTATACATTATCCATTACGTCCAAGAGAAGGACGTTTCCAAAAGTAAGGCTGGGCATCCCTCAACCCTAAACCTCCGCTAGTACTCTCCATACTATGGCCGTCTCCTCCTCTATGGCAACCTTCCTGGCATGTGCCAAATGTGATGGCCCTCGAGTGTGACCATTTGGTTAGTCACCCGCTTTGACAATTATTTATTGCCGGCAAAACGAGACATTCGGCAGGAGCCGTGTGTAGTGTGCAGGTTCAGAGGCTCTTTTGCTATAGTATTGCCTGGATATTACTCTCTATAGAGACGAGAGGAGGTGCATTGAATACACCATCCCTCGGCAATTGTTTGCTCCTCTTTCAGCCGTGATTGTATCATCAATCGTGTCATATAAGACGCTAGTAAGCCGACACATGATGCGAGCCAGTCTGCCAGTGCAATACAGGCCTTTACTGGCTTAAGAAAACACCACTATCTCGACGGTCAGCTCTCTACATGATTGACGCTTTATGTCATGACAGAGTTGCCGCTAATCTTTGTTACTTTTGCTAACAAAGGCATAAATATAAGCCTACAGAGAACCGCAATCAATTAGTGACTATTCTATATGGGCCATGAGAAAACAATAACTGAAAAACTTGGCTGTATTGTCGATAGAACCTTATAATGGGAGATTTGTATGTATACTGAGCCATGACGCCTAGCCTTGCTGAGAACCGACGCGACGCGTGACGGACCCCGGTACTGACTTACCGACATTGTTCGATAAAACGCTAGTATGGATATCGCAATTAGCTGACAGTAATATTGTCGCCCCCATTAATGCAAGAGCTATTTAATTAAGCAAGKCATCATAAATTCACACTATCCCGTGGAAACGCATGCAGTCCTTTCTTTTTAATCCCTTTACATTTCAACTGTCAGCAGCAAGTGACTAAACAACAGAATGGCCCGAGTCAACCAACTGGAGGCTGTGCTCAAGGTTGCGTGGAACCCAGAGTTTGAGATAATAAAGAAATTGCGTTCTATCATGTGATTTGCTGCTAAGTATTGTATTCTGCTTAAATTGTCAAGCTCCCTCCGCCATTCAGCCCTAGAGTCCTCTCTGCAGTCCTTTATTTAGTCTCATATTGTTCCAAACAACCAAGCTATCCAGCCTTATTAATTACATTATTACACGATAGTCATCCGATTTGGAAGCTTCAGACCCGAACGGAATATTCCTTGGCTCTTCAGTCGCCTCCCCAAAGAGGTTCGATTCTTGATATACAAGGAGTTATTCGGAGATAGGATGGTGCATATATTGTTCTAAAATGCTCGGAAAACCATCAAGGAAAGCCGGAATGGGGGGTCCAAAAAAGAGGACCCCAGGCTGGTTACATTGTGTTTGCGAATCTTCCACGGGCGACCCACCTCACCACCACTCTGAGACATATCACAAATGGTGTTATATCTCTGCTTCTGTAATTTTTACTTGCAAGCAAGCGTATGTATTAGTCGTGCGTGCTCAACTCCAGGCTCCAGCTGACTCCGCTACGTTACCTTCAATTTCGAAGAAGGTGTAAGCATACTACTCTGCGGGTATAACACTCTCGTGTTTGACGAAATCGATGAATTTATGTTTTTAAATCGCGCTGCTCCGCGTTACGCAACTATCATAAGAAAATCAAGGTTCAGTCTCTCATGGTCTCATCGCTTTACGAACTTCGAAACGTTAATCTCAATCCTTGGTCAACTGAGAGCCAGAAATCCGAAAATTGAAGTGATTTTGTGGTTGGATCCAGATGTTATATGTGAAAAGTCCTTAGGAATTACCTCTGCGCTTGAGCGCTCTGAAAAGTCAAGGTTTCCGCTTTCTAGAACTGTCAACCTGCAACTCTTGCTACCTCCTGGTTACCTTGGTCCAATCGCTAGAACTTTATTGGACCCCCAAGTTCTCCCATACACTGGAAACGAGTGTACAGACTTCTATGAAGTATTCCTTTCTTGAACTTAACTATATCGGCGGAACATAAAGCGCACAAATCGGTCAGTATTGTGGCAATAGCATAAGTACTTTAAACTGAATTAGCAAAAAAAGGATTGGAATCAATCTTGTGTTTTACAATTTGATTTGCATGTAATCTTGGTGTCAGAGTCTTGACGTCAGGTGCTTTCGGCTGCAATTAAGTGCATTAGATTAGACGTGCTAGAAGACTTGTAAGTATGACTATTCCCGCTTCTTGTATCTACTCTTGCGCTGAGAAACCATTTGAGCGGGAAATTGAGTTTACATAAAGTAGAGAAGGATAATCAGCAGTTTCAAATTTTGCCAGGTAGCTTGCGGTCTGAAGATTCACTGATTAAGCCTGCTTTCCGCCAAAGAAAGTTCTCGGAGCTGCGGCTTCGAATGTAAGCTTATGAGGGCATTTATATGCTTATAGCCACAGGTCTCAGCTGCAACATATAGCTCACTGTTTAACGATCATACCAAAACTACTTTACAAAACTTCCACGCTAATAGATATCATGTGAGTTGAATGGGTATCACAGCGGACGCTTCTGATGCCTTTAGGGAACGGCTGTTAAGCAGAATCCTTGCTATCATGGAGCTTGTGACTCCATGGACAATCTCAACTCCAAGACACTCACTATCAACGCAAGGGTAAGGCCAATCTGTCCAGTATACATTGTCAGCGTTCTAACAAAATCAGGCTGCTGCACATATCCTGGCTGTTCTCGACGACAGAGGCACAAAGCTCATCCATAAGACTAAAACTACTACGAACATACTAAGTGGTCTGTAGCCACATGATCTAGCTTCTGCGAGAAAAGAACTTGCAAAATCTGGCAGTGCTTGGGGTAGACTTGCAAACGTTCAAGCATTTTGAGTATGGTACCCTTGGAGCATGACCTTTCGTGGTATATTTTTAAAGCTGAGTGCAGGTGTCCCTTTACTCTTCTCTCATGACTGTGTAATGGTTTACGGTCAGCACACTGTTCACCCTTAAGTTTCGATTGCTGGGCATAGTAAGCTCTGTTTTCCCTTTTCTCCCCCACTTCCTGCTATTGCCTGCAGTGTTGGTTGCTGCTTTTAAACCATCCTTGAACGTCTTTTAGGAGCCTACGAATATATTTAATCTGTAACTCGGTAAATATAGCGATGTAATCCAATGCCTTGATCTCACGTAAGAGATCAGCGGATAGTGACCTGAAAACCAAGTGAAAATGTAAAGAAAAAGAGCTTCCTTGTTGTGACTCGAGTTAGTTCCACATACCCCATAATAAAGGCGACAAACGAGAAATGATTAACACATTATTGTGTAACCCCTCATCATAAAGTGAGCTTCGATGGTTATCATGATTTTATCATTTTCTCCGAATTTGGGTAAACCCACGTGGGCTGAGTCGGGAATGTCCTGACGTGTTATACGATGAGGGCCTTGACTTGTTATCGGTGTGACGAAAGGTTTTAGCCATTTTCCACGAAGCGGCAAACTGTTGTGGCATTTGGGGAATGACCATTGTTACCAGTTTTGCCGCAGACCTTTGTATTACTAAACAGAAGTCCACTTGCACCGTCCGTCAAAGCCAGCAGTCGACTTCTTTTTACCGATTTCACTCAATGCTTCCATTGTGAGGCATCACCTGCGTGACCATATGGCAACTAAGGTAACTTGATTGTGATATTGGATGACTGCTGGGCCAGCCGGTGATCCATCCGACCCTCGTCATCTTCTCTTACCACCCTGTGTTTTCTCACGGTCTTTCTGGTCCCTCCCTTCCCTTCGGCGCTCGTCCTCTCTAATCAAGCGACGGAACTCGTCGGGGACGTCTTCGTGGCTCAGTGACTTCTCTGCCTGCAGTGCTGATGCCACTTCATTATGAACTGAATATTTTTGCTTCAATATCAAAGAGTAGAAGCGCTTTGATACCTCTCCACATTCCAGATTATCGGCAGGCCACAAGAACCCTATCACATGAGAAAACGCTGCTACCTGGAATCCGCTCAGAACGTGTATCACCTCATCTTATAACTGCTCTGCCTTGCTCTCAGCTGTAGAGCATGCTGAAATGTATGCAATCTGAGTGTATGTGAGCCGTAAGTCTGAAACAGATCTCAGTGATATAGAGGGGACTAGTTACCCCGCTCCCATTACCACGCCGCCGATAACGATAAGCGAAGTAGAAGAAGCTATTGAAGAATCAGCCCCGCTCAAGGCTCCAGGACCRGACGACATCACGAATAGAGCACTTCAAATCGCCTCTCCCTGGATCAAGGATCACCTCACCAGGATCTTCAACCAGTCCCTTACACTTGGCTACTACCCGGAACACTTTCGGCAATCGACAACCGTGATCCTCAAGAAACCGGGAAAAGACAACTACACGATCCCAAAGGCCTATAGGCCGATCGCCCTCCTCAACACCACAGGCAAGGTCATGGAAGCCATTA